TTCTCGTTGGTTCTGGCCAGTGGGAGGAGATAGTAGGAAATCAGAAGGCTGGGGTATTTCCCCCCTCTCCTGCCTCACTTTCTCCCTGTTGAGGTTTGGGCAGTAATGCGTTCCTCTAAGGAGTGGTTCTCAAAACAGGTTCCCAGACCAGCAGCATCAGCAGCACCTGGGAACTTCTTACAAATGCAGATTCTTGAGTCCCACTCTCGGCTGGGAGAGGTGAGCCATATCTGCTATTGCTAGGCCCTCACCCCTCTCCACCCTTCCGGGAAGACTCCCTTCACTCAGTTGTCTTCAGTGAGCTCTTTCTGGGGTGCCCGACTGGTCCAGGTGGTCAGGAGGTCACTTCATATTCCTTTAGACAGGGTACACCCTCGCTAGTTTACCCACTCCCCTCTGGCTTGCCTCGGTCACTGCCAGCCATTGAAATCTCATGAATGGGCCAGTCACCCTTGCATTGGGGCTAGGCACCAAGCCCCCCCATCGGTCACCTGTCTTGGGGCAATGTGCAGAGATGAGGACCCCTTACAGGAGGTGGTGTGGGTATGAATACGTACTCTCACTTCTTACAGGAAAGGAATCTCCCATTACTTTATTTCCCGAATCTAATCGGACTGAGCTTCCCCTCTCCAAGGTAGGGAGAAATTCAGGCCCCACATAATTGTGGCTTCTCGTCAGCCCCTGGGGCACAGGAAGTCTTCAGAACTTTGGGGGAGAGCCTTCTAGTTTTTTCCTGCCCTTGTTCCTCCCTGCACTAATGGTTTTCCGGTTCCAGAGGGGTGCAGGAGTTTTGCTAAGCCTCTGAGCCCAGAACCCGATGTCCAGCTTTCTCAGGTTGGTTTCCTGGAAGTTTCTGACATCTCCTAGGGGTCTGGGGAGGTCCTGCAGCTCGTGGATCCCCAAAACATTTTCCCTGCTGGACCCACCCTCTTCCTGCACAAATTCCCACTTTCTGCGTCCTCTCTGAAGTGGGACAGCATTACCCTCCAGTGGACCTCTGGGAACAAACACAGTGGGTCTTTAAGGAACTTTCCTTCCAGGGGATGAGATGCTCTCTTTTGCCTTCTCAATTCTTAGTAGCTTCTTAGTAGCTCACTGTGAGCCAAAGGGAATCAGAGTGAGAGGAAGCAATGGGAGAGGGCAACTTCAAGGGAAAAAATAAGGGAATTACTGGACAGTGTCCATAGGTTTGGGGAAGACATGGGACAGTGCAGGGCCACATCCCAGGCACAAGCTCATGGGGGAACCATACGTCCCGTCCTTGCCGCTGCCACTTGGCAGTGTGGATTCCTGCCCACTGAGCTGCCCTAGCTGTACCACCTGGTGGTGGCCACCATGCCTACTGGTCCACTCTGTTATAGGTACTACGGAAACACTAGCATTGGTGGTTTTCACCTTTTACAGATAGGGAACTGAGGCACCAGAAGGTTAATATATTGAGTCATACGTCTAGTAAGTGATGGAGCCACGCTGAACACAGGCAGTTCTGGCAACAGGGGCCCTGCTCTCAGCCCTACTCCTCACCTCCACCCACCATGATGGTGGTTTGTTCATCAGTCTGATCTCTCAGTAGACTGCAGAGGCCATGCCCCTTGTTTCCTCTGAGTCCTGTTTGTTGACAATGATGACAATAGCCACCAATTCCTAAGCACCCACTCTGGTCTAGGCATCATATCTAAGCTCTGTGCCCCTGTCAGGTCTTTACAATGCCCCTATAGGTTCTGCACCCATTAAAAATTCAAGAAAATCAAGGCACAGAAAGACTGGGAACTCACATGGCAGGAAATGACAGGGCCGGGATTTGAATCCAGCTCTGCTGATCCCAGAACTTAGGTTCTTGTCTCCTCTGCTGTTCTGACCCACAGACACTGTTGCGTGGAGGAGTGTCCATTGCAATACATTGATCCATCACTAAGATGACTTACTCTTGTTTTTTTAATGTTGCAAATAGATTTTTTTTTTTACAAGTCAGATTGGAGTACGGATCTCAGGTTAGCTGCATGCTGGAATTACTTGGGGAGTTTTTAAAACCCCACGGAAGTTTAGGCCCCACAGCGATCAATTAAATCATGGTCTCTCTGGGTGAGGCTTGGGCTTCGAAGGGCTGAGAACCACTTACTTAAGTTGGATGAACTCTAGGATCCTTCCCAGCTTTCATGTTCTAGGGTTCACAGAAGGTACGCTGCCATCAGGTGGCAGTAACAAGCCACAGCTCCATGATCTAATTGACAAGCCTCAGTCTGAAGAGATAAAGTGCTCTTGTCTTTAGTTTTATTCCCCAATTAAATCTTTTAGTTAAACATATCAACTTAATGATAATTGACGAAGATGTTTTAAAGGCTACTTCTAAAAGCAATAAGACAATATGGTACAGTTTGATATCTTTCACACAAATGGTTAGCCAGTTTTTACCATGAGGAACAGGGTTTGGAGAAAAAACTTCCTCTGTGTTTGGATTTCAGTTATTAGACCATTGAAATATCCATTCTTCCTTATGTCATTACTATGATTTTTTCTTAAACTTCAGCATTGACCATGTCTGCTCAAACATCTTCTATTCAGTCTTGTCCCTGAATCAGAAATAGAAGTGTGAGAGCCATTTCATTTGGCCCTTGGTGGGTTTTCCCTGTCTACACTGGTGTGTGGGTGGGTAAATGTTCTCAAGGGGATTCCTTTCAGGATCTGGCAGCTCTACTCAGTGGGAATGGCCGGCTGCAGTAGGAAGTTCTGACATAGCAAATTGGAATAGATAGCTGGAAAATTTTTAGGGTATGGAATTTGGAGTCTACAGATTTGGACTGTGTACCGCTCCATCATTACTGGCTGTGTGGTCTTGGGCAAGTCACTGAAAGCTCAGAGCCTCAGTTTGCTTGTCTCTAAATAGGGATTCTCAGAGCTGCATCATTGCAGGTTATTATGGGATCAAAGAGAAGGCAAACACAATTTTACAATAAAACCACTCAACAAGTTAGGAATTAGAGGAATGTCCTCAACCTGGTAAAGATTATCTATGAAAAACCTATAGTAAACATCATACTTCATAGTATAAGAATGATTTCTCCCTAAGATCAGGAACAAGACAAGGACATTTGCTCCTGCCACTTCTATTCAATATTATGCTGGAGATTTTAGCCAGAGGAAATAGGCAAGAAAAGGAAATAGAAGATGTCAAGATTAGAAAAGGAGACGTAAAACTATCTCTATTTGTGGATAACATGATCTTGTATATAGTAAATCGTAAGACTCCACTGAAAACTATTAGAACTCATAAGAAAATTCAGCAAGATTTCAGGGTACCACACCAATATACATCAAATTATCATATTTTTATACTGTAGCAATGAATATTCTGAAAATGGAATTAAGAAAACAATCCCATGTACAATAGCATTAGAAAGAATAAAATTCTTAGGAATAAATCTAACAATAGAAGTGCAAAACTTATATTCCATAAATTATAGAACATTACAGAAGAAACTAAAGAGGATCTAAATAAATGGAAAGACATCCCATGTTCATGGATTGGAAAACTTAATATTATTAAAATGGCAATATTCCCCAAATTGATCTACAGACTCAGTACAATTCTTATTAAAATTCTAACTGGCATGGTTCCTGGCTGTCTTAGTCAGTAGAGAATGCAATTCTTGATCTCTGGGTTGTAAGTTCAAATCCCATACTGGGTAGAGATTACTTAAAAATAAAAATCTTAAAAGAAAAATCCAGCTCTCTTTTTTCCCCCCAGAAATAACAAGTTGATTTTAAAATCCATATAGAGTGGTGCTGGATGGCTCTGTTGGTTAAGTGTCTGAATCTTGATTTGACTCAGGTCATGATCTCAGGGTTGTGGGATCGAGGCCCACGTCAAGCTCTGTGCTCAGTGGGAAGTCTGCTGGAAATTCTCTCTTTTTCTCCCTCTGTCCCTCTCCACCCCTAAAATAAATAAGTAAATCTTAAAAAAACACAAAATTCATATATGGAAATGCAAGAGACCCAGAATGGCCAAAATCAGAAAAAAAAGTAATAAAAACAAACAAACAAACAACAGTGTGGTACCAGTATGAGGTTAGATATATAGATCAATGGAATAGAATTGAGAGAACAAAATAAAGTCTCCCATTTATAGTCAATTAATTTTTGACATCTAGATGGAGGATGGTGGCTGGAAACTTGGAAGGGGTGAGAAGTGGTCGGAGTCTAGATATACTGCCAAACCAGAGCCACAGATCAGATGTGGAGGTATGAGACAAGGAGATCAAGGTTGATGCCAGGGTTTGGGCTTGAGCATGCGGGAGGACGGAGTTGTCTTTTCCCGAGCTGGGGACACACTGAGGATACGAGGTGCGCCCTCATGGTGCTCACAACTTGTGGGCCGCCGACCCAAGGATCATATGCAAAAAATGGAATCATAAGGCGACTGGTGTTGGAGAGGGCCAGGGCACCATGAGAGCTCATGATAGGGGAAGCGTGTCCCCCGCTGGGGGAAGAGCACATGTGAGGGTTCGTGGTGGAGTGTCGGGCTTGAGTGTAGGGGTCCCCATGAAGGAACTTGAGCTTCATTCTTTGGGAAGTCATCAGAGGGTTTGAGCAAGAATGTATATGCCTGCGTGCATGTGTGACGTGATCAGAGCCATGTGTCCTGGCACCTTCCATCTGGTCACGACAGTGTGGAGCCCTGGGGAGCCCAGTGAGGGGTTGCCTTTCTCCTGCTGGGTCTGGATGGGGTGGGGGTTGTGGAAGGGGCCCGAGGGCGTGGAGCAGGTACAAGCCACCTGGCTGGATGGGTTGGATTGGGGGTGAGCCCGGAGACCATATCCCCGATGCTGGTTAGCTGAGTTTGCAGGTTTGCTGTCCACAATTCCCTCAGGGAGACTGAGTTTCCAGGAATAAGGGTTAGAGAGACTTGGTGCTCAGTGACTAGGCTCAGGGAAGGGGAGAGGCAAAAGCCTGAAGCTCTCACTTCCACTCACATTCTGAAAACCCTTCTTTTCTTTTTGAAGGTGAAAAATGTCGCAGCTTCATTGACCTGGCCCCAGCATCGGAGAAGGGTAAGTGTGGCCCCCCATCAGGTGTGCAAGCCCAGAGCCCTTCAGAGACCCTTCCTGCCCAGGTGGCTTCCCACAGCCCAGTGAGGATTTCTCCAGCAGCGTCCCTGGGTGTTGGCTCCCCAAAGAGCCATAATCTTGAGCAGTCGGGAAGGGGATAGAGGAGGGGGAAGATCACCTTGTCCTTCCCCCGAGTGGGGTGATCCTGAGAGTCATTATGCTTTCATACTTCCAGTGCACACCAGGATTTGGGGGGGAGGTAGGATGGGTGTGAGGAAGCTGGGATCAGGCTACACCAGTGTTGGGGTTACTGCATCCCAGCTGCAGGATTTGACCTGGGTGGGGGAGTCCACCCACCCAGGTGCACCCACATCTGGACAAACCAGATGTCCTGTGTCTGTCACTCCCTAGTGCACAGAGCCCGAGAGCAGAGATTCTGCTCAGATAGGATGGTCAGGGGCTGGCCCCAGGTCACGTGTGGGGCTAGCACAGCAGTCAGGATTAGCTTTAGCTGTAGGGAATGGTGGTCCAATATAGTCGGCTTCAGAAGAGAAATGTGCATTGCTTTTATTAAAGTTTCAAAGTAGGGGGTGCCTGGGTGAGTGAGTTAAGTCTCTGCCTTTTGCTCAGGTCATGATCTCAGGGTCCTGGGATCGAGCCCCACATTGGGCTCTCTGCTCAGCAGGAAGCCTGCTTCCTCCTCTGCCTGCCTCTCTGCATACCTGTGATCTCTCTGTCAAATAAATAAATAAAATCTAAAGTTTTAAAGAAGGCAATCCAGAATGGCTCTGGTCCAGAACCTTGCTGCCCCTTTCCATTGTCTCTGTGCTTCGGTCTTCATGGTCTAAGATGGCAGCTGGTGCTCCAGCTGTCACACCTGCCTTCTGGGCAGCAGCTTAGAGGGGGCAAAGGAGAAAAGGCAAAGCTTGCATGTCAGCTCCAAGGTTTCTAGAAGTTGCCCATAGCACCTGCTCATGCCTCCTTGGCCGGAGCTTGATCCCAGGGCCAGACTCAGCTGCAAGGGAGGCTGGGAAATGAAGTCGTTATCCTGGCGGCCATGCGCTCAGCTAAGTCAGGGGCTTTATTTTTATGGGAGGGCAAGGGAGCAGATGCTGGAGGACGTGCTGGCCAAGGAACATAGGGGCTTGGCCGCCTCCGGACCTGCCTACTCCCTGCCGCCAAGGAGGAGGACAGCCAGGAGTAAGCAAGTGTGCTGGTGTGTCTTCTAAAAGCCTGGAGATTAGAAGAGAGCTCTGGTTCTGGGTGCCAGGGTGGGGAAACTGAAGCAGAAGTCCAGTCCTAGAAACTGTCCAGCAAGGGGGAATCTTGGGTGCCTGGCTCAGGAGAAATGCTCAACCAGGGATTGGGGGCCACTGACGCCCCCTGCTGGTGGGGCCGGGCTCCCTGCTTCCCTGCGGTGAGTGGAGGGTCAGACGTCCTGTCTCTGACCCATCCCGGGTCTTGGTAGAGGCGGCACGGGCGAGGGGGCCATGTGCCATGGAGGCTGGTGAGGTTCATGTCTTGCAGACACTATCCCCTTGCTGACCTCCAGCCGAGTGGCAGCTCGTGAGGAGGGGACCCCCAGGCATAGGAAAAGACTTAGCCACACCCCCCTGAGCAGGCTTTAGGCAGCGGGGAGCTGCTGGCTCAGTTACTTTCCTGGTTTCTCAGCGACGGCGCCCCGTTTGGCTGCTGCAGGTGGCCACCCCTAAAGTTTTGAGCTGAGTATCTGGGCCCCGGCTTCCAAGCTGAGGTCAAGAAGCGCGAGGAATACCACAGCTAACACATGCGCATGCGCGCCGAGCTGTGGTCCCTCCGTGCTCGGCTCTGTGCTCCCAGGCAGTAAACGAGAAGGACCTTGGGAGGAAGAGGATGACAAACTCACCCCACTGCCAGCTGAGGAATCTGCGCCTTTCAGAAATCAAGCCACCTGAAGTGTCCCTCCCCAGGCGGGGCCGAGCCCAGGCTTCAGAAACCCCTCTGCTGTCCTGCGTCTTACAAGCCCCTACTCGGAGGCGGCCCCTCACCAGGGCTCAGCCAAAAACCGCAAGACCTTGGAGCTCCGGGGTCCCCTGGGCTCCCCGTCTGGCTTCTAGGAAGCACGACCTGGGTGTGCACGCGTAAGCGTGCTTGTGTGTCAGGGGCAGGGTGAGCGTATGCATGCACGAGCAGGTCCTCCCGTGGATAGGTGCCCACGGGTCTCCTGCGTGTGCCCGCACGCCTGCTGGTGGCTGAGCATGCACACACATGTGCCCGTATGAACGTGTATGGGCTCGCATGCCCGGCTGAGTCCGTGCATGTGTGTGTTTCCAAGGGTGAACCTGCATGGGTGTGTGCACGCACGTGTGAACGCATGTGGTGTGTGTACACGTGTGTCTCTGTACGGTGGCACGTGGGTTGCTTGTCCTCCTCCTGGGGACATTTGATCTTTATTCTTGCTTCTTCTAGGAGGACCGAGAGCCCCAGAGAGATGGTATCTTTGTGTTTTACTGGCCTTGTGATTTTTCTTTCGGGGCTTGGCGGCCATGCCAAGGACCTTCTGGCTGCGTGTGTAAAAATGTTTATAAGGAGGCTGAGTGGGTTGGCTTTGCCACCAAGTGGCAGGACGATTTGCATGTACTCACTGCCTGTCAAGCACTTCAGCTGTCCCTTGGATCAGCGGGCTTTGTCACACAGCTGCCCATCCCCAACCTGGCCCTCCAGATCCTGTGCTCACCTCCCATCAGGACTGTCTGTCTCACAGACACGGACCCCCAGCCGTGGAGGTGGCGTGTGTGGTTTGAGGCCACAGCGGGAGTCTGGGGCTGGTGTTCGAGCCCAGGTGTGTTCTCTCCCAAAGCACACTCTCCTCCTGCATTCTCGTCCCTGCACACGCTCCCTCTGTGACTTACCTTCTGGTCCGCCAGATATGGCAATAATCATGGGACTCACGCTAATTGGCTTGAGGCAGTGCTTACTGCGTGCTGAGCGCTGCTCTGAGAACTTTACATGCATTGGCTCATTTTATTTGGTTTATTTTTAAAATTTTAAAAAATATTTTATTTATTTGAGAGACAGCGAAAGTGAGAGAGATCACAGAGGGCGAGGGAGAAGCGGGCTCCCTGCTCCGCGGGAAGCCCGATGCAGGGCTGGATCCCAGCAGCCCAAGATCATGACCTGAGCCGAAGGCAGACGTTTAATGACTGAGCCACCCAGGCGCCCCCCCCCCCCGCATTGGCTCATTTTAATCCTTATTTCACAGATGAGGAAACTGAGGCATCGAGTGTTAATTGACTTGCCTGAGGTCATACAGATAAGATGCTGGGGTTTGAACCTGAGTGGTTTGGCTCTTAAATGCCTGGTTCTTCTGAAAAGCTAGACCTTCCAAGACTCCGCGAGTGTGTGTGTGTGTGTGTGTGTGTGTGTGTGTGTGTGATGCGCGTTTCTTCCCCTTCCTCCTTCACCAAGACCTCTGAGTTCAGAGTGTTCTCAGGCCAGTGCTCCCCTTCTTTTCTTGACCTCCTTCCACCTGGCAAGCCACAGTCATGCTTTCAAAGACCTTCACAGACAGCACCCACTCTTTGCCATTTTCTTCAGTACCCTCTCAGCCCTTGCTTCCCGACCTGTCCCCTGGAAAAAATAGCTGTCCATCATCGGTATTTTTACCACGACACGCATTTTTCTTCGTTGGTGCCTGACCGTTGTAGTTTTGTGCTTCACATGGGAAATATCTTTTTGTTTTATACTAGCCTAAGCCCCATTCATTTTTCATCTGGATTCCTGCCACAATCTCTTAACTGCTTACCTCCTTTCATTCTTGCCCCCGGATTCACTTGTGTCAGAATGATCTTTTTAAGGCATAAGTCATCTCATGTGAATCCCTGTTTAAAGCCCTCCCTTGGCTTCCATCGCACTTTCAGAGAAAAAGCAAACATTCTCATGGAGGCCTGTGAGGTCTGTGGGATCTGGCCTTGAACTTCTGGGTCTCATCTCTTGCAATATCCTCTCCCTCACCACACTCCAGCTCCCCCAAATCCTGATGGTTCCTTGAGTCAGCCAAACGAGTGTGTGCCTCAGGACCTTTGCACTTGTTGTTCCCTGCTCTGGGAATACTGTTCTATCCGCTTTCTGCACAGCTGGTCCCTCTCATCATTCAGATTTTGGTTCAGTGTCACAGAGGGAGCCTTCTTTGAGCATCCTCTCATCGCAGCCCTTCCTCCTTCTAAGTCCCTCTCCACCCCTGCACGTCACTTATTCCTGTCTACAGTGTAGAGGGTCAGCTCCCTGAGGGCAGGGATTTTTGTCTCCTTTGTGACTCACTGTGTCCCCGGTACCCAGGAGCAAAGCCTGTTGAGTGGATGAAAAATGAACATGGGTTTTAACAGCATACACTCTTGTTATAAAAATTACAATGATCCTTAAATGCATAAATGAGAAATGAGAGTCTCTTATGAGCCCACTAGATATTCTCTAATAATGGTTTGGTTTATTAGTCCTTGACGATGATAGATAGATGTAGACAGCTAGGTATGTAACACACACATACATATACATACATAAATACTTGTATATAAAATCATGAATTGTTTTTCATACCAGTGCATAAGACCACCCCCATCTTTTGGAACAACTGTAAAATCATGTAGAGACAAATTGTGTAAGCAGTCCGATAGCTGGACACAGAGACTGTCCCCCCCTGCACTCCGGGCCTTCAGTATCAGAGCTGAGTAACAGTTACTTGTACCCACATCTTTCTCTGCCACAGGGCTGGGGGCCTCTGAAGATAGCAGGGGTTTCTTATTTACCTCCTGGGGCCTCAGGGAGCCGGGCCAGCCCCAGAGCAGCCCTGGCAGAAGAGTGGACTAAGACTTGAACAAAGGCCGTGGGAGGCAGAGGAGGAGGAGGGTGAATTAAAGATGTCTGAACAATGTATCAGGATGAAATGTGCCAGCAGTGTCTGTACGCTGTGAACTTGATGTTGAAAATGCCGAGGAAACGCTTCTCGCGCTGTCTTGTCTTCCTCT